TAATCATAATATTCAATCATTAGGCTTTCATTAGTGTCACAAAAATGTTATCTTTTTGTCCACTTAATGTTAATATGTTTTTCTTTTCTCCTTTCTTTCTTTCCTTCTTAATTGTTTTCCTTTTTTCTTTCTTTCCTTCCTTGATCCTATTTTCTTCTATATATTCTTCTTTTATTCTTTCTTCCTGTTGTTCTTACTTCTAATATTGTTTTAATTCTTACACAATCTTTGTATACCCCACACTCTTTCTACTTTTCACTCTTTTGTGGACACTTCAGCCATCACTATCTAACATCTACTATAAGATGGCGCCTAGTATCCTATACACTAATTTTAGAAATGTACCAAGCATTTTACTCATAAATCGCATTGAATTTATTCTTTAACCCTGTCATGATAATATACGAAAAAGAAAAAGAGTGTAAGTTACAGTTGTAGTTTGGTTTCTGGAAGCTTTCGATGACATCTCGTCATCTTCGTCAGTCGTTTGAATCTGGTGGTTAACTGACACGTCAGCATTGATGTTCGTGTGATGACGTAGCAAGCTACGCCGGATTCAAACGGCTGAAAAAGATGACGAGATGTCATCGAAAGCACCGAGAAACTAAACTACAACTCTGAAAGGTAACTTGTACTCTTTTTCATTTTACGCATGTTTTACTTTTATTAATATTTTATACTTCATTTCATACTCAACTGATGCATATCAAACATAAAATTGCATTTCTACAAACTAAATCGGTTAGAGACGATTCAAGCATCAACAGGGTATATGCTTAAATTGGAAATCATACTATGTTATAATAAATTACATTAGTGTAACATATTATGTCATTTCTTACTTAAAGATACGCTTCGTACTATATGCTTGACAATGCAAGATACAAATTGTTTTTGGATAAATTGATGAGCAATGTAGAATAAATTAATTTCAAAATAAATTCATAAAAAAGGGTAGACCAGCATTAACAAAAAAAAGTCTTCTGTCATATTTGCAGTCTGGCCCCGGTACTTGTAATTTTGCCAACTTCTAATTTCAGTGGTTGATTTGTATCAAAATAATGTCATAAATCTTGACTTATTACTTTTAATCATAGCCACCCGTCTAGCGTTCTTCCTTTACTTTATTCACGTGTCAGCCTCCGAAACCCTTGTGACCAGGCCCAAATATAATCCTGAATGTTTTCGATCTCGTGATTCAATTTCTGAGATAGCAATTGTGTCGAAATATATGTCATAGGCCTAAATAGTGTGTATTTTCAATGTGAAATTAAAGGCCAGTTTTCTTCCTTTCTTTACTTAGTTCCATTTTGTTAGTCCACCATGTTTGTAACTTGGTTCATAAACATTTACAGATATCTTTTAACTTATGAAAAGGTATGTTTCTTTTCTTTAAAAATATCAGTGTAAGTGATGTCTGTCACTTGGTTGAGAGTTATGGTAGCGTTATGTGGGAAGGGAGAAGCCAAATCGTTTTAGTGTAAGAAGATTTTTTTTCAGACATGAATATGTAGATCTGGTTATGTGCGAGATATTCAAAGGCTCTCATGATTATTGGGAGAATTTCATTATATGTTATCTCTTTCATTACACCATAAACTTCTATTGATAGTTGTGAACATTCTATTTTGGTACCATGTGCGCAATTAAAACGTTTTCTATTAGAGAGATAACAGAACCATTTATAATAGATATTTAACTAATAATGTTTAATGATGAACAAAATCGAAAGTCTTTTGAAGATCATTGAATTATATTGAACTTTAGTGCATCATGTTGTTGTCAGTGTTAAGAAGAATGTCTGGCAATTGATTGAGGGCACCTGGCTTTGTGGGAAGGGGAGCATTTAGATTGTTTTAGTGAGAGATGAAGATATCCAGATGTGAATTTCTAGATCCGGTTATGTGCAAGACACTTAGAGACATTCATGGTGTATGGGTAAATTTTATTGTATATTTGTACCAAGTGACAACGAGAAATTAATGATGTATGAAATGTGTTCAGTACAGTAATATATGGTGCGACTGCCTTTCATAGACGGGTAGATTCTGTAGGCCTACTAGTACTGTAACAAACTTTGAAAGTAGAGGGCCGAGAACTTTACCACTCTAAGCAAATCTAAAATAAAGTGGCTTTTATAGAAAGAAAGATGTTAGTACATTGATGATAGTGATAGTAGTCATTATATACTGAATTATACAGGTCGTTGCAATGCCGTAGTCAGCTATTGGGACAGTTGGGACAATCCCACACAATTCTTCTAATGAGTCCACAAAGAATCGGTCCACATTTTAAAAATGGGTCAAAATTATGTAATTTTATGCATAAAATGGATCCCCTTTTTGAAAAATGGGTCCATGATTTCTCATATTTAGAAATATAAGTTACGATAACACATTTACTTTCGGATGAGAGGTTATGCCTTTAGTCTCGTGTTCAATATGCCCTATGTGCACGTTAAAGACCGTAGTACAATCTTCAGAAAAGAGTAGGGGGTTGTCTCCATGTGTACTGCCCAATTAACCACCAGAAGTACACCATTGAGAACAATTCTTTCAAATGGGTTATCCATAGCCATAGCTTATGTTCTCACACGGCAGCTAACGGTTAGCAGGATCCGGATCCTGCTAACCGTTAGCTGCCGTGCGTCC